GCGGCGCTGGTGCTGCTGGCGGCGGCGCTGAGCGGCCCCGGGGCCGGTGCGCGGAGCTGCCCCGCGCTCAGCCTGGGCTGCAAGTGCGCGGCCGAGCGGGCCAAGGCGGGCGGCGGCCCCGGCGCGCCCCGGCGGAGGGTGGTCTGCAGCGGCGGGGGGCTCCCGACGCCGCCCGAGCCGCGCCTGCTGCCCGAGGGCACCGTCACGCTGTGAGTACCGCGAGCGGCAGCGTCCCGAGCATCCCCTCTGCCCCTGGCATCTCCCCCGAGCATCCCTCCCTGCCCCTGGCATCTCCCCCGGGCATCCCTCCCTGCCCCCGGCATCTCCCCCGGGCACCTCGCCCCGGCCCGGCATTGCCCCGGCCCCCCGGCATCTCCCCCGCGCATCCCTCCCTGCCCCCAGCATCTCCCCCGGGCACCTCGCCCCGGCCCGGCATTGCCCCGGCCGCGCTGCCGCCCCACGCCCGCTGCCCCGGGGCACCCTGAGCGGGACCCGAGCCCACGCGTGGGTCGCGCTGAGCTCTCTCGGTGTCGGCGGGGAGCCCCCGCATGGCCCCGTGCCGGGCAGATGCTGCGGGGACTCGGGAACCGGGGCTGGGCGTGCAGCCCCGCGGGGGCCGGAGCGCAGTGAAGTTGCTTTTTCCTCTCGGTACTTTTTCCTCTCAGTAAGCGGCTCTGCAGCCGCGAAAGCGTCGCTCGGTGCTGCGTAGCGTGGTTTAAATCGCGTTCAAGGGGTGTCGCGGCTCTGGGCTGCCGGGGGGACCCCGCTGTCCCCACGGCGTGGCGGCAGAGCGGGGCTGGTGTGGACGTGAGCTGGAAATGCAGGAAACGAGCCCCTTCTGCTTCCCTCCACAGCATTTCTGCGTGCTGGGGAACATGTTTTTGTTTGAAAGTGACTGCTGTCCCTGGAAATATTTACTGAGAGGCCATCAGGAGCGGTTAATGGGTTTGGGGTTTGTGCAGAGGTTCTAACGCTGCTGCTTGATCCCTAAAGGCTCCTCTTCCTCGCGGCCCCCGTGCCGGGGGTTGGGGGTTCGGCTGGAGCTGGCAGCCGTGTGCTGCTCGCTGCAGGGTTTATTTATAACTCCGGAGGAGATGTTTGAATTAAAATCTGGATTGGAGGCTGGGCTGGCAGCTCTGCAGCTGGGGGAGCGTTGTCCCGTCAGGGTGGCTGTGCTGCCTGCCCCGGGGTCACGGCTCCCACCTCGCCCTCCTGGCTGGGGTGGGGGGACGCTGCAGGGGTTGGGTCTGGGGGCTGCCTTGTCCTGAGCCCATGGGCCGTGTTGCCATTGCTCTGGTTTCTCGGGTGCTGCTTGCTGCTTTGGGGTGATGGTGGCAGTGAAGGTGACCCTGCTGGC